AATTTGGAATTTTTCCTGAACTCATCGTGTCGGTAGGCACGCCAATTCCACGTTTCAGCTTTCTATGTCTCTGTTTTATTCAAGCAACGGAACATGCCTCATGAGCGTAGATTATAGGAGGGAAGTATTGCAAAATATATTCTCCACCCTTACAAAAAGGGACACTTGAAAAGATTTCAAGTTAGGCACACTAGATATAATAGAAGTAATGATTTTGATAAAAATCAAGACTTTCGTCCCCATATGTCACGTATTCCAATGGGATGTACTTTAAGTACGTGTTTGCTATTTCGCAAAGAATAAATGATTTAATCGCTATCCAAGGTATTGCAGCGCCGAAGGCGCGACCACAGCGAGTTTGCTTGCCCGAAGGGCAAACAAACTCGCTAGTATTGTATATCTTCGTTTTAGGGATTGCTAAGGCCTCCTTTATGCATTCCATGTACTCCCTGGTAAACCTGGTGGTCTCATGATCTCCATATTCATTGGCTCCTCTTGGAATTTTTTGTTATAACTCCATATGTCGTAATGTGAAAACCATTTTTCAATGGCTTTATCTTTCTTCAACTCCACACCCCAACCCCAACCTCAACCTCAACCTCACCTCACCTCCCCCTCCTCCTTCCTTCTCTACAGAACGTATTAACGTAAGGGCTAGGCCTAACTGATGGACCGTCTTTGTGTCAGACCTAGGCCTATCTTTTCTCGGTCAAAAGAAACTCAATCCTCGACTTATATGGCCAATTAGGCCTATAAGGATTATTCCTTGGTCTTCCAGACATCTCGTCGATGACGTGTAACGTTAGGCCAATCGCAGGCCAACTCAGTCCCTCCAGGCTCTTTTAAGAGAGTACGTTTAACGTTAGACCGATTAGAGGTCTGTTTCGAGTTTTATTAACCATTTCGGTGTGGACGAGGAACGCTAGACCTTTCCAGAGTTCCTCGAGTCGCCTCAATGAGTTCTGAGAAGAAAATATCTCTAGGAAGCATGGAATACAACATGGGCGCCATTCTGTTAATTTACAGAATTCCGAATGAGATATTTCCACATCCCACAAAATCGATCGGCCACTGCTATCCACCATTTCAATCTTGGCTCGTGGAATTAACTCGACACAAAATTATCCCGTATATTAAAAAACAGAGGATCCAGACACCGAAACTAAGGCCAAAGAAGTCATGAATCTGGTATAATTAGGGCAAGATATCCAGCAACACTGGAGGACCCCCAACCCATCGTGCTAAGCCTAAATTAACGGCATATGATTTCATTTTCATGGCAACATGGTGCACTAGAAGCAACAAAAAGGAAAACTTTTTTCGCCTACAAGTCAATCAATATTTTTCGTTTGGTTGGTCTATTTCCTCGGAAAACTTCCTAGGAGTGGCTACCCAGGGGGAGAAAAAAAATTACCGGAAAAAAAATTACCGGAACGAAACTCACATCTCCAAAAAGTGTGATGGAGCGATCTCCACAACCACGGGGAAATGGAGCTTCAAATTTGTTGGAGAAATTCTGTGTTAAGAGAGGAAGAAGTATGCCGAATTTCGTTCTTGATGCTCTCAGAGAGGAATACAAGATGGTTGAATTTTGTCGCCGGAAGGGTTGAAGAAAGATAATAGGCACTACCAAAGCCTATTGATTAATTTGGATCCGACCCAAATGGAGTTTCAAACTCCACCAAAGTAATTGTTGCTCTTCAAGTTGTTGTGCGCTAGCAGTTGTTAGGCTGGATAGCTAATGCAAAGAACCTGACTTAAATTGACAGCGTAAGTCTATCGAGTCACAATGACCTCAATTGTAATATTACCCTTGTCGTTTTCCACAAGAAATTGCCCCAAAACGTGGGCCCACCTTACCAATTGATATCACGAAACCTGCTGATTGCCGAAGCAAGTGAAATTGGTGCAGCTTCCATAGTCCCCTCTGCAATGCAATTATGACTAAACGTATTTTACGCTCACCAGTGGCCCATAATAAGAATTAAGTATAATTAATGAATTTCAAGCCTTAAGATCCTGTGTTGAATTGTACTCTTGTACTCAGTTGGATCCCTAGGTAAAACCTAGCATATCACTTCACCATGGGCATTCAAAAAATTGGCAAGAAATAGCTGTAAGAGTAGGAATAGCCTTGGCGGAACTATTTCTGGCGAGTTTCAGAACTGCAGTGCTTGTCCAGGGCAGTGTACCTGGCATCTCTACCATAGACCTCTTATGTTTCTGCCTTTCACCAGATCTTGTCAAATAATGATTTTCGTCAATAATGTCAACTTGGTTATCATATGAATGTTTTCACATGTATATTTAGGAGTACAAGGTCTACTCTTTCACACTGACACAAATTTTCTTTCTTACTTCACTGCCTCCCTTCTGGCGACGGAGAACATGTGCGCAGGGACCTGGGCATCTCCCGACACCCAGGGTCCCGGCATACAATCACTTGGGTGCAGTATGGGGGCTATAAAGGGGGGCGCATTACACCCGTACCTAAGCTGTAGCTTACAGGGTGGCCCAAAAATACGTACGATTTTGAAAAATCAAATTTTTGGGGGACAACTTCCCGAAGCGACTCAAGCTCTTCATCGATGCGGGAGATAGTCATTTTGAGCAAAAGTGATGTTTATATTGATGGTGTGGGTTGTATAGATGTTTATTTACCCAATTGTTTATAAGAATGTTTGATATTTTGAATAAAGTATTTGATTTTTCGAAATCGTACGTATTTTTGGGCATCATGTATTTAGAGGGGGCTTCAACGCGTTTCGCTAGATCTTGCAAACAGTAGATACCGTGTTGGCGTAATAGGTTGTGAGGGATGGTAAAGAGACTTCACAATTAACTTATTACCTGAGCGTAGGAGAGGTAATCGTGCCAGTAATCTGTCCACCGACCACAATATGGTTGCAGTGTGCCTCTTCCATGTCACTTTCACCTTCCCTCGAAATGGGATCCTTTTTCTTGAGGAGTGTGGCTGGTCCTCACCGTGCGCCTTGGGTAACTCCTCCATCTCCATCCACACATCCCCACTCACTGTGGACATGGAAGAAAAATAGAAAGAAGGAACTTGAGTGACAATTGGAGTGAGGAAAGGCATCGCAATATCTCTTTTCTCAAATTACATGTATCTCATTTTACAGGGATATCCCTCTAACACCAATCAGAAGAATCATCCAAGATCATTCACGCAGATTCTCGCATCTGCCCAGCTTTCAAAAATTATTTTTCTTTTCTTTACCCATTAACCCTTTGAGCCCTCACCACCGCTTTACCGGTGGTAGAGAGAAATGACGTTTTGCCTGATTGGCACACAAAGAAAGATTTCTGGCGTTAAAATGAAGGTACGTCATCCTGCTATTTGCATGCAAAGTATCAATCTCATCTCTTTTATTACAACTATGATATTTGCACAAACATTGTATACCCATTATTGGCAAATTTTGGCCCAGGAGCTCAGGCAGAAGGCTCAAAATTGCTCAGGAACTCAGGGCTCAAAGGATTAATAACTTAGCTGCCAGTTACAGTCATTAGATTTCTTGTACTGGTCCATCGCATCCATCCAAATGCTCTGGAATCTGCAAGCATTTAATAAATGATTCCGAAGGCTCAAGTTAAATAATTCGCAAACAAGTTTCTTAATATGCATTTCTTGTGGAATTTTCATGTTTCAAGTAACTTCAACAGCGAAAAGAAATTGGGATGCCATTGATATTTATTATCCATCTGGATCCTTTTATCCTTGTTCTGCTGATACCAAGCGTTACTCCGATTGGTATATTATTACAGATATTAGTAATTACCTTGGGGGTTTCATTTCTTCTAATTAGCCATCCAGGCTCCAGGCCTGTAGTGGATATTTAAATGGGAATGGTATAGTATCCGCGATATAGACATTATATATGTAATTACCTTTATGGGTCTTATTGGCCCTAAAACCAAAATTTAACCCATTTAGGCAGGCTACCTCGTGCTATTGATAAGTTTGATTCTCCCGGTATTTTCTTGGACTAGATACGATAGTAATAGAGCAAGGTATCTGTAAGAGTTTCTTTGGGAATGATGCCATGAAACCACAGTCTCTCAAGCAAATTTATTGGCGAACTTTATATCCTAAACCTACAGACCTACTCCTTTGCTAATACATCCCCCTCCCCTCATCTTGCATCATCACCCATTGTTGTCACATGTCCTTCGTACAACATCAGGAGCAGAGGAGATAACAATTCTTGAATAGCGGGAGTGTGCAGCATAATATCTTGAGTGTTACATTTCTGTCCATTAGGCACTGTGTTAATCAAACTGCGATATTCTTACAAATAAAGAATGACTCTCCCTTGCGCAATTTTGTTTGACCATATTTCTATTTCACTGTTCTGTTTCGGTATATTTCGACGTTATATGTCGTTGTCGTGAAAGTCAGTAGCATCCTCAGATACTTCATTATCTAAGACCCTCACAACCCCCCCCCCCCTCTCCCCTGGGATTTAGCAGCTCTCTTTGAGTTACCTGGCATCCTTTACAAAAATTCATGAACCAAAATATGCAACTACCGTATTTTGGATGGAAGAGTACACTCTTGTGCTTTGGTAATTTTTGCACTGTTTTTGAAAGTGTAGCGCCTTGGATGGGTGTTGCAATGTTTCAGCAGGTAAGAGTAAAATGGAGACCTCTCCTAGGTAGAAGGGAAAATGTATGTGAATTGAAGATGACTCACTTCGATGAGGCACAATAGGGATGATGGTGAGCTGAGGGTTTTCCTGGACGAAAAGCAGGATACCCCGCCAGTCCTTCTCCCCATCTCCCACCACTTGAGGGAAGAAGGTTCCTGAAAAATATTCATTTCATGCAGTCCGTTTCCTTCAGATATAGGCTATCTCAGTTTTTCATGCGATACGGAAAAATCGCAAATTCTTTCCGATTACACGCATAACTCTAAAGAAAAGCCACGGCAATACCACTGATACAATAAGCCGGTTAACCCATGAAATACAGCATGGTCAGCTTCTTAAATCATATTTCTGCTCATGCTATTTAGCGTCAATCTTCCAAACAGATTCTTTAAACTTTGGAAATCATTCAAGAATGCTTATTTAAGAAATATAGATATCGTCGAATGAATGTCTGACTGGAAGTAGTGCTTCCCTTCCCAGGCTGGCTCCGTACAGAATAGGTGCTCAACTAGTAAAAGGAGAGGTTCACTCGCATGAAGCCCTGGAGGCATGGCGGTCCGGAATTAAGAACCTAATGCGAGTGTAAGCATTCGCTATCATATTAGAAGGATAAAAATGATCAAAACCGAAGAGGGTCTGGGGTAAGGAGGATGGAAGCTCGTCGTCCGGATCCGGACTACGGTCTGCAGGCTGAGCAACCCAGCCAAGCATTCGAAAATATTATGATCATTCATGCGCTGCTGGAAGAAAACTCGCTGACTGGAGTTCATCAACCTTCTGAAATGTGACTGCACAATATGATATAATATGTACAATCTTTCGACCGTGCAGATACATTCCAAGTGTTCCAAACTGTTGCTGGTACTTGCAGCCTCCCAAAGCCTGAACCTTCAACTGGAGCTTTCAATCCTTCCAATCTGCCACTTACCCCTTCATAATAGTGATAATACCACTTTCAAACTCCGTGACATCCTTTCCTAGACGAACGCAAACATCAATCGAACATTCTTCCAGGAATTTCAAGGGTCAAAACCATTTACACTGCTTTTATATTGTTTTCATCTGCTGCTGAAAAAGTTATGCATATCACTAGGAGGCAAGCAGCTCCAAAATTGCAATAATGTCATGAATGGGTTATCAAGCGCATCAAAGTACACTGTGATACATCTCATGGTTCAGCCACACGAAGCTTAGCCATTTAATAAGATATTCGCTTTGTTCATGCAAAATAGGAAAAGGGGGTAGGACTTACGAGACAATACTTCCCCAATGAGGATGATGGGTCTCATGATGATGTTCGCTGCCAACTGGATCTGATGAAGAAGGGCATCCGACGGATTTGATTGCACTCCATTTGGCATAGGCTCGGCCGCGTTCAACTCGGGTGAACTCCTCTCATCGTTTTTCTCCATTCTCTTCTGTAAGAACAAATACATCCCTAATACCAAATGCCTGAGGATCTCCAGCTTACAACACGATGGAGAATAAAAAGAAGTCGCCTAAAACCGAAGAACGACCATGAATGGCCAAATGTTATTTTCCTGAAAAGCGAAAATCGATTCGATGGCATCATGAAACTATGTGTTCAATGCACCATTGGCAAAGGCAGCCTACCATGTTGGCAAAATAGAGCATCTCATGATCGGTTCCTTCCGCGATAGACGAATCCTTCAAGTGATATCCTCCGAAACTGTTGCCGGATTGGATGATTCCCATAAAATGAAGTTATTTCATTGATCCATGAATCTATGCTCAGATATTTTTCTACACTGAGGACGCCCACAATAAATAAGTAACTGGTAATTTACACTCGAAAATGTTATTCATTTTCTTACCTTGTATAAATGTCAGTGCAAAGAAAAGAAACCTGAGTGATGGCTTTCTCCTCTACCTTAGGTTCTTTCATCCTGAAAATCATATGTACCACTAACCATTCCGTTATTCTCCTTCTTGGTTACGTTGTGTGCCTGTCCGTCTTTGAGTAAATAATTTATTTACTTTTGCCCGTAACCTCTACAATCCGTCGTCTTACATTGCCAGCATTATAGATATCCTCGAGTTCGCATTTGCAACCTCTTCAGGAAAGAGGAGGGAAAGTAAAGAGGAAGACAGAAACCTTTAGGAGAGGAAGATGCAAGAGGGATCCCGTGAGAGTAAGGGTAAGGGACTCTAGGAGTCCTCCTCCTATACCCCGAATATCCAGGGCCACTGGTGGGCTGTGCTTTGGCTCCCACTTCACGCCCTTCCGTTCAAGCAACTCGATGATTTCTCTTCTCCTCTCATCACCGATTTCAGGCGCTTCCCCTGGGTTTCCTAGAAAGAGGGATGAGGAGCTAGTGGGTGAAGATAGTTACTGTTGCTACCTTCTGAATGGACACTTCGTTGTATGCAAAGAAAACAGTCTGTGAGTCACTCATGCTCTGGTTTCCATGATGTAAATTTTAAGGCACGTTTTATATTTTTACTTCCATTTGACCTTTTTAAGTAAATGCCTCCATTTTGGTGTAGAGGATACATCATCTCTTTCCAACTGTACTGATACTTGATTTCCTATGAAGTTGGCGAACTATAACCTGCACTTCAAAAGACAACATGAAGGAGGGTGAACGTTGTAGAAATATGTTCAATGTGTTTGTTCACTGGGTTATATATCTTTCAATTCAGACTAGTCCTTAGCGAGGAGCTTTTAGATTTCTCAACCGTTAGGAAAAGTTGCATAGTATAGCCTACACATGATGCATAGAATCAGTGACACAATCAGTTAGAAGCAATTAACAAATGGAAACTGAGATGCTCACTGAGTTGCGCCAATTCAGCCAAGCTTGCTTGGAAGACATGATTGGTCTAGTTTCCACTGTAGTAGAATAGTTGGACAGTTGGCGTCATCTTTTATTCCGAATAAAACCTAATTTGCCCCCCCCCCCTCCTCCTCCCACGCTAGAGAAAAGAAACACCATTGGATTGGGTTAACCAATTAAGACCTCCCTGCACCAGCTTTGAATAAGATCTGGCATTTTCCCCACGTCTACGTGATAACAGTGAAGTGGATCAAGGGGAGAGGGGGAAACAAATGAGCAAACAAGGTATGGATCTGTCAGAAAAGATGACTCTTAGTTCAGCCACACAAGCAACGTCGTATTTCTTGCGTAAGCGTGACTTCACTTACCGTCCCATGCATATCCCCACTCGGCAAATGGGGAGGATGAAGAAGGTAAAGGTAAAGTTTTGTTTAAGGCCTCCCACATTTTTGAGAGATTTTGGATGGCGCCGGTGTGCTGATCAAGCAAGCCCACAGCCTCCTCCCCGATCCTGCCCCCTGTGCCATTCCAGGTTGGCTCCTGGAACACGTAGAAGGCGCATTTCTCAACAAGGTCAGGCAATACACAATATTCGCCTAGAGTATGAGAATAATCGCCAGGGCACACAAAATAATCTATGCCATCGTTGTTAAAATTTCAAGAAGTTATTCGAAAATTTTTTCATTGAAATAGCACCGAAAATTTTTTACCCAGAGGGTATGTTTCCCAAAAGCAGGATCCACCTTGAAACCAAAACCCCGAATAGCTACATGTCTAAATTTCAGTTTCCTATAATATCTAAAATATGTTATAATTAGCGTCACTCAGTCATTCGCTCATCATATCCTCGAAATTTTCATTACTCAACAGTTCAATATTCAACGGTCTCCGAAATATGAGGTCTGACAATAAAATAACGAGACTGACAGCACTGTAATGCGTGTGGCAACACTGGGTTACTGAGGATTGCTGTAACCTGTCCGTGCATGTCTTAATTCTATGCTGTAGTAAACTGGTTGTGATAATTCTAGTGAATGCAGAGCAATACCACTTTACCTAAAGAAGTGTTAGGGGAACTCGTAAAAAAAATGGGTGATAATATTATGAACAAAGAATCAACGTGAAATTTCTAATTACACATGGAGGAAAAAACCAACTGAAGCCTTTGAAATGTTGAACTTTCTGATAAAATCCATCGTACTGTATCTATTGATACACAATTCTTTAGTAATCATTCTGACAATAGGACGACGATCACTTTGCACCAGAGTTCTCACATTTTCGATGCTTTCATCCAATTTTGAAGCTGTCGGACGTCCAAGTCGTCTGCCAAACTCAACTTCCCTTCCTTCATAAAAGCGTTTATACCATTCAAAGACATTTTGCTCTGGACATAATCTCATCTCCGTAAACTTGTTTCAACATTGCAAAGACTTCAGTTGGTTTTTCCCCGAGTTTGATTAGAAATTTCACGTTGATTCATTGTTCATGAGGTTGCAACTTTTCTTCATTGCTCCAGCGTCAATTGCGAAGCCTTCTCCCTTGACCGTTATTGCAAATTAAATGAAATAGTTTTTTTTCTGTGTCTCAATTCTATTTGAAATAAAAAGGAGAGAAAAACATACATTTTAGCAATTTTGTAGGAGAGCTTTCAAAAAGATGTACCAAAAATTCCCCTCAAACAAGTACACTTTTCTAATATGCATTTGAAGCTGTTTACGTTTGAGTCTGATTCAAAGTCAGTATCGTGAAAATTTTTCAAGAAGATAGTCTTTCCACCAATACAGTCAACAGTGACCTGCATGTTACAGTTAGGAAAATACTGCATTTTGAAATGGTATAGTGACTTATGGCACGCCCTGAACTATTTGCAAAAGGTCCACGTTTTGGGTTTACTCAATGCGCAACTAGGATAATCCAATGACATCTTCCAATAATAGTTCGCGCCTCAAACATCTCCAATAGCACAAACATCAATATTTCGTCGAACGTTTCGTATTTTAACGCCAACAACTTCATCTAGATTCTGGGTACAGGTACGATCCGTTAGGAAATAACAACCCAATACGAGTTCTTTAGGCATGAAACTGTCTCATTCCATTTCTCGCAGCACCTGGATTCTTGGAGTTTCTTGAATTTGAGCATCTCAAGAAGAATATCCCATGCAGCGTTTAACCCGTCAAATCCCAAATTAATCCTAAATTTATGCAGCAACAGCACAGACCATATTGTTATATTGTTCATATAATAGGACATTATGTTTGGGTTACAAGAGAAGAGGTCAGTTGAAGGAAAATAAGTATTAATATTGAATAGTACCGAGTGAAAAAGGAAAGGTAACCTACATTGAGAAAATTTTCTTTCTCATCCAGTGAAAATAGGATTCCTGGGTTCGCTGCGATGTCCTCGGGCGAGGGCCCATCCCAAGTCTGCACGAGTTGTTCTTCGGTCATGGTTCTCCAGAGATCTTCATGTCCAGGGATGTTGTCAATGATGATGAGTTGAGTCCTGGAGCGGGAGATCACCTCCAGTAACCAGTCGTCATTCACATCCAGGGAGACAATGACCGACGCCTCACACCCACGAAAGTTTTCCGGGTGAATTACTTGGATTTCAAGGCGATTTAGCAGCACTTGTAAGGACTTCAGAAGGTCTTTGTCTGACGCCAGGATGTAAGACTGATGATCTGTCATGATAGCAGATGCAACAGCTACAGATTTATGGCACGTTCCCTCTCCTCGGCAGATGTATCCCAAATGGCGTCCTGAACACTTGAAGAATCGCACTGGTTGACCGGGTACGATTGCTGCGGGCAAGGAAGAGACGGCCAGACTCCTCGCTTCTAATTTCAGGGCGATTCCAGCCTCGTTTCTCTGGATGTGCCTAAGGAGATCCACATTGGTTGGTTGCGATGAAAGTACGATTGCGGTGCTGTCTGGGCTGTCTTTAAAGACTTCAACAGCTCTCTTAATATCGTCCAATTGGCCGTCTTCCGAGTGAGGTTTGAAGGCAAGAATCACCTTCATTTTCCTTTCCCTCAATTGTTTCAGTCTCTCCTTAATCCTTTGAAGTTCGTTCAACAATGGACAGTCTTCCACCACCACGATGAGGGAATCTGCTTCATCCTTCCCTTCTTGCTCCTCCTTCTTCATCCGAGCTGCCTTCCCTGCATTCTGCACATGTTCCATGATGGGCAAGAGAGATTTGATTTTGCTTGCATCGATGTCTTCAATGTACATATTCGGCTTATGCTTCCAGCGTTGTCGGTAGACTTCCCGAGACAAAGCACTTCCGGGATGGAGAAGATGGACTTGGTACCCGCGCTCCAGCAATTGTCTCATCAACAGATCTATTTTCCTGGATTTCCCAGATGCTGGGGGCCCGAACATCCCTCTGAGGCGAAATTCAAGCATCTCCTTCTCGTCCTCGTCCTCGCCTTCCCCCTCATCCCAATCCATCTCCATTCCGGGGAAAGACACGATAGGGCAAACGTCTTCCTCCAAGTTGACGATGTCTTGGCTCTTGTACTTTTTCCTAAACTTTTCCAGTGTTCTATTCAGATCTGCCACAGAGATCTTGCTCTCCTTGATATCCCATCCACGGATTTCCTCAGTGATTCGCGAAAACTTCCCAGTTCTCTCTTCTTCTTTTTCGATCACGAGGAACTTATTTTCCCCAGTGGTTGCTATCAATCGGCTATAGTTAATCCATTTCGAGCGAGGGAGATCGAGGACCACCGTCACATTCTTCGGGTGACATCCAATCATTTCCTCCTCGGTGACGACGACAAGAGGGACGTTCTTTCGGGTCCGCTTCCCAAAAAACAATTCTTTCAACCTTTGAAGTGCGGGGGGACGCTTCCTACGGAATTCCCCATTCCTGTGGTGGAAGATCACAGGGAAGGATGGGTCGAGGGACGCAACTGCGTTCACAAAAACATTCCTTCTCTTAGCATCATCGACAACGACGTAGAGTGGCATCTTCGGCGATGACGGAGAGCACTCATCATATATTGCATGAATGGCGTGAAAGGTCCTCACGGCCTCGCAGAGTATTTCGTCTCTGCATCTGTCTGGATGAAGGGAAAAGCATGAGGGGATTAAAAATAATTTTGGAAGGAATCCCGACTTGGACTCCTCTAAATCCATTCGATGCGTCTTCTCAAAGGATGTGAAGATCCGGCGGGAGTAATCTCCAATGGCCAGGAACAGTTCAGCCACTTTCCTGGTATTCCTCTTCACTCTCTCGAGGATTTCGACCTGGAACCCTCCGGGCTTCACATCCTGGAGTGAGAAGTCTCTCGTATAGGACTGGTCATTGGGTCGAAAAGAGACAGTGATCGACTCCACTTGATCTTCCATGTCTGCAACCCACTCCCAGTGGTTTGAAAGGGCCTCTGTGGTGATGACGTCCTGGAATCCTAACGTGAAAGACACTTCATCAATGAGGACGTGCTTCCCTTTCCCATTCTCCTGCAAGAATTTTTTTAGCCTCTGAAGGTTCTCCTCCAAGCCCTCTTTTCTTCCATCAATGACTTCAACCTCCTCATTTTCTGTAGGGACGGATAAAGAAAAGTTTATTTTCCTCTCATCCAGAGTAAAACGACACGTGAGAAATTTTCAAAAATTTTCCTTGCAACATTTGTGTTTACTCTCTCCTCCAATATATTGTGCACAATTATGATAATGAAGAAACCATAAAGAAATGTCCAGAGTCCCTTGAGTGACGAGATGCTATAAAGAGCCGAAAATCCATTGTATTAATATATGGGAAATGAACATTCAATGCCCACTTTGAATGCTTGAATGCATTTTAGACCATAGCGCAGTATCTCCTTGTAAATCAATGCTCCATGGATGAACGACGCTTTGAAGCCCTGGGAATATCTTGCTTTTTATTTCACTGTCGTCGTGAAGACTGCTTATAAAAATATCTTCGTTTGGACTTCATCGTGCTATGATTTGTGATTACTTTTGAAAGCTTTTCGAAAATATTAATTTTCTCAATAAAAATCGTAAAATGTGATGTTGAGATAAAACAATATAGACTATTGTGAACTGCTCATTTTGCCTCGTGTTTCTCATTTTGCCTAACTTATGCCTTCTCATGTTTACTTCCAAAATAAAGACGTTTCAACATATCGCCATACACTTGAAGTATTGTCCCATCGAATTCTAAGGACACAGCGATATAGACAGATGCAGGATGCAAAAATATCATTTCCTTGCCATCGGAGTATTTGCACTAGCCAGAAGATATTGCTCACAGAAGTAACGATTCCTCGTTTCCCTTCTATTTCCCTGCAAGTCCATCCTAGGGATAATGACATGGGTACCCATTACCAGGTGAGTCTCAATATCGCCTTCGACATCCTTAAGAAAAGTCCCATATTGACCCAATTTTGAAACGATGTCCACCGCCTGACAACGATGACACGATGAAAGTATGCGTCGTCGGACCAGCTTTTATACAGGTCAAACTCACCCATCGTATTTCCGACAGTGACTCGCATTATTATGGCTGCACCAGCTACCATATAGTAATGAGAGTTTTGGGGCCAAGTGGGACTTTGTATTATCAACTCATCAGATAACAGCGAGACATGCGGCGCATGGAGGAAGACGGACAATTTCATCTCACCTTCGAAATGATGTTGGAATTCTGAGGTCAGGAGCCCTCCAGCCATATTAATCATCAACACTTTGCCTTCCTTCGTGTCGGCTCTTTTCTTGAGGACAAAAGTCTTTCCAGTTCCTGAGGTGCCACACAAGTAAATGACCTTATCAATACTCGTCACTAATTTCCGTTGATGTGGGGTTAAAATCATCAGCATTTCCTTCATTTGCTCGTCGGACTTTTTGAATAGCTGAATGAGGTTGCGCGGCATTTTCACAGCTGATGCAGCACAGACGTAGAGTTCAAAGATGCTCTTGTAGATATTCATGATGGGAGAATTGGGATCCTTATCCCAGGGTTTTAACTCAATCCCATGTCTTTTTAGAAATGTCGTGAAATATTTTGCATCGTATGGATCTGAAATGAGGATTCTTGCCCTGCATCCCTCACACTCAATTGCTTTCTCTAAGTCTGACTTGGAAAACATGGGGAAGGCGGGGAAACCCGCCAATTTCACGTCCGCAGTGATGAATTTACAGCAAATTCTCCGGAAAACGTCTATGTCTTTGTGGACTTGCTTGGTGGCAATCTTGAAATCCTTCCACACCGTTTTCTTGTTCGCATCTGGTTTCGTTCCCTTGACCTGAAAGAATAATCCAACGATATGCCGACCGGATAGTCCAAAGCCAAAAACATCGTGATCCCCAGATTTCATATTTTCTGACGAGACTCCATACGCCTCTATGAATTTCTTCCTCTGCATTGCATCGCCAACCTTGAACAAGGTGTCCGTGAAGGCATAATCCGCGATCGTGAGGGATGGCACATCCTTCCATGCATACTTCACTTCGTCGAACACCCTGGCGACGGCGAGGTAATTTGCGGGCAGGTCCACGTCGTCCTCTCCACTTTTCTTTGCCTCTTCTTTTAGCTCCTTGAAGTCACGATTGCGCAAGATGTATCCCTCGGGTAGGGAGTACGCCCTGGTGTTGACATCTGGGTAGTAATCTTTCATGTGTTCTTTTAGAGCTTCATTCAAGGATCTTTCATAGTCTGCTCCCGTGTATATTTTGTGGTATTTTTGAATGTCCAAGTTTCCTAATCTTTCATAGCTGCTCAGTCTCCCCAGCGACGAATACTCCTTACATATCTCGCACGAATCTCTCGACCTCTAAGGAAAGAAAAATGCTTTGTCAATAAGTGCGCAACAGCAAGTTAATGACAAGGTCGAAGAACCCCATCCCAAAGAATGAATGTTAGGGATCTCTCTCAAAGGGAATTTCAGATGCAGAAGTCCTGTAGGATAAGAATTAAATAAGCTACAGCTGCAGTAAGGAGGTGCGTCGATGCGTGAAACTGTGCCCATGCCCCAGGTCAATGATTCCTTTTTCATTATAAATGATTTGCGCTTAATTGCCACTAAACAACTTCGCTAATCCACAATAGTCTCAGCGTGCTGAAAATACTGTTATTTACGAATAGTCAGCATTTCATTCATGTCGATTCTTCGACGGATACTACACTTTAATCAAGTCTCACCGTTTCAACCTTTTCTCAACGTTCACAACATGACGGTGCCGACCGGAGAACCTCCTAATCCCCTCATCACGATGTTTATGCCTGATGGTTTGGAGCCATGATACGCTGGTCATCTATTGAACACCTGAAAGATGTATTTTATACGCGACATATGTGATGTTCATCTATCTCTATGTTACAGCCCATGAGCAATTCCCTAGAATAAAAAGTACTAGGGAACAGCACCGAAGCCGGATCTTTCCAGGCTGCATTAACAGGAGACACGAGATGCAGCAGCCCTCCCTCCCCCTCTCCCCTCCCTTCCTCCCAAGAGAATGAAAAGTGACTCGGGGTTAAAGTTTGCTAACCGGTCACTCTGGACCTTACCTATTCCCATTGGCAAGATTCTGCAGGATGACTCACCCCTTTCTGTAGAGAGCCCTCCATGGGTGTCCCTCGTACTTATTCCGCACTGAAAGCATGAGGAGGAAGAAAAAGGCGAAATTCAAATAAGAACCCTCCAAATGCATACGTTTTGGAGAGGCCAACACTTCATGGTACTCACCTTGATGAGACTGGAATGCTCTTCCTGCAGAGGCATTTGATTACTAAAGCTGAAAAATCCTCGGAGTAGAAAGAAAACTCTCGCACGAAATTCGCACTCTGTCCACTCATAATTCCAAGACGTTCGATCAACTGAGTCGGTAAACCCTTTCGTGTCGATTGTCACCCGAGTCCACCGCTTTTTTCGACAAGAGGGACAACAGGAGGAACAGTGCAATGACGATCAACTGGAAATGTGAACAAACGGGTAGTTTCACTTCTGAGGTTGGAGGCCTGAAAATGCAAAGAGGTTTCGCAATAAGTAAAGAAGTGACGTCCGCGCTCGGTCTTTGCGTGACAGTTGTTATTGTCAAGATAGAAATGAGTCTTTCGCCTTCCTGACCATTATATTATAGTTCAGTGCGCTGGAAGAAGTCTATTGTAGGATAGGTAACTTACACTAACCTGAAGTGAGTTGAAGAAATGACAAATGAAAAGAAGTAACTATGTGCAGATGGGAAAAGGGAAAAATCACTCTGAGAGTCACCCAGAAAGAAGAGAGGGAGGCAGACAACCGCCTATCACTGAAGCTACGGAGGGAATCCTCGTGAGACTGTGAATGAGACGGACCATTCGGCCCCAGTGCCATGTGCGTCCGCACTCGAGTCCAAGGTCGCGAGTATGGAAGACGGAAGCGCCCATAATCGTTTCAACGTGACTAAGGAAAGCCGTCGGGACCAACTGTGATGGGGCCGAGTCCAAGGTATGGAAAACCGAAGCTCGTAAAATCATCCCTCGAAAACTATGGTCTCATGGAGTGAGGTCGGATTCGACAATGCAGAGTGATCAAGGATAAAATAAAAATTATTTTGAAAGTGGAAAATTGAGCTGCATTAGAATTCGACTGAAACCTTTGCGTAGAAGTAGGAAACCACTCATCCTTTATCGAATTTTTTCGAATGTCTACATCACAGCGCTATGAATTAGAAAAAATATCCATTACTTTTCGCATAAGAGGAAACCATGTCAACTTGAACACGATCTCATAGCATGGGTATATCGTGGAGATCACTTAATCCTCAGACTCGTGAGTCCATGATATGCTTTGATAGGGTCTTGCACTTTAAGCCGACAGAGCCTTTTATGAACCACGGCAATGCGATCACCCTTCTCTTTCCTTTTTTCGGAAAACTGATAAATTTTCCTGTGGTGCTCATCATGAGTCCTTAGTAAAATATATCGTAAACTTAGTAAATTCTCAAGTTCATTTTGTTTCTGGACCATCATCGCCACAATCACGTGTGCCTAAAGATTTATTCTCGAACACCTTTCGTACGGAAGAACTTAAAAGAGCAGGAACTTTTCGAATTACACATAAAGTAATTGGAGTCTCCAAACCAGTGCTCGTCCAGGTTGGTTAGAGATTTTCGTTAGTGATTCGCATTTCCTTGTTCTTCCCGCGCGTAATCGTTCGCTTCGAAACAAATTTAAGTATAATATACATCGAGTTAAATGATTTCTTTCCTTTTTCGAATATTTTTTTGTGGTTTTGTAGTTGAAGTTGCAGTAGTTTTGAGTCCATCTTTCATCAAAACTTTCCGGTGCTTTATAAGTTTCGCCTAGGTGTCCAAAGCTGTATAGATTCGATCCCCCTGTTTTCTTTAACGGGATGGTTACCGACACTATCTAGTTTAAAATTTTAGAAGAAAAACTTTCTGAAAGATGTCAATATTTTACAATTAATATGGCACAACGATGTTTCAGCCAAGTAGTCTACAGTCCCGTCTCCCGGTTTAATTGAATAGCGAGAGTCCCGCTTCTTGAGTCTCGGTCGATGGCCTCAGCCGTTACAGGGGACAAATCCGGTTTCCTCTTGTTTCTCGGCAAGAAAGGAACGAACAGGTTCTCGCGAGACTAGTCTCTGCCGTCCGAAGACTCTACCGTGCCGAAGTTGCCGTCGTTCAACACTTTCGCTGTCGCTCATAGATTTGTCTTGCGGTAAAATTGTTGGAGTTTAAGTCTCTAAGTTTGGAGACCCACTTGACATTCCCTTATCAAACACCACAACTGACAAGAAATTACGATTTTTTTTTGTTCTAATAAGCGTGACAAAGTCAACACCAAAAAATGCTCCAAGTGCGGGACACGCCCAGACCTTTCGTGATTTCCATGAGCATAAAAGGCGATTTAGGCAATAAAGGCATCTGTACCCATTTGAGCGCCCATCTTGGAATTCGTAAGAACTCTCCATCCCTTTCGCGTTTTCAATAGAAGGTGACCTCTGTCTTCGCTTAATCCGTATTGTATGACTCCAGCTTATTTCAACCCCCCCTCCCCCATACCACCACTCCCCGTTCTATCGCCTTTTCTGTTTTTCGTCTGGGGTAAAAGTAGGAGCCGATTGCGTGAATGATGTTCATTTTAAAAATTGATTCTCGATAGCCAATGTTTAAACATTGTCTAAAAAGAATATATTAACCGCAGTCTACTTTCAATTACACGAACGATCCCCAAGCCATGTTCTCGTAGCCGATGGTTAGACGATGACTAAGCGCCCCGCAAGGTATAAATGGCACGTTCTCACTTCTTGGTTTTCCTGTGATACATTTCGGACTCCGCAAAAATCGAATGAATCGAGTGAAAAAGGAGAGCCTTTCCTCTGTCGATGAACTATATCTCGTTGAGCTCGTAAATGAGAATCTCGGGATAGTGAGAGAGACACGACGCACTCTCCTTGCACAACAATAATCATGCCTGAAAATCGGTGAGTTCTCCACTGACCCTGCTCTGTATTTCAACACGTCAGGGGTAACGCAGAGGATTCGTTTTGCACGCACAGCGAAGTCGGAAATGTTAAAAATGCGAATATCATTTGTGCACGATTGCAGCAAAATGAAGATATCCGAGAATCGCGTGTCGATCCCGGTCACATAATGACAACGTCAGTAAAAAGAAAAAAAAAAAATCCCTACCACATCGCGCACTGCCTGGACATCGATGTAATAGAAACCTATGCGATCGATAACAGTTGCCTGGGCGAGTACGAGAGTCGTCGATGGTACCGATCATTCCTGGAAATCCGGCAATATCAAATAATTGTCTTCGAACAACTACCCAGTTTCTCCTCCTGGGAATGTAATGAGCGACGCAAATGAGCAATGGCCTCCGCCATTCCATTTCTAGAAATCAATACTTTATTTTTAACAAAATTAATGGAGGTGCTTTTTAAATTTAAAAGGATGTAAAGATTGCGAACCTGACTAGAGGAGGGGACGGTCCCCCCCCCCCCCCACCCTCCCCCCACTCCCCCGAACCTCCATTGCGATCGCGGCGTCTGTGCGTTCATTTCGAGAAGGAAGTTTCATTGGATAGGCATTCGAGGACAAAGATATGACCATTAATTTCTCATGTTTATTTCAGGTTCTTGTGTGTGCGAGGAATTACTTCAAGTAAATGGGCATAATAAAAGAAAGTGCAGTCAGAACTCCTTCCGAATCCTCTAACTGGCAGGGATTCCAAATCAATCTCTGTGCTGACTGTTCCGTATTCAACCTTCAGTTGAGAGGAAATTACGACATTTTTATTCTAATAGAATCATTTGGATTCTTTCCATACGCAGTATTAAGCCAATGGACCACGGTAATGCATGATCTTACGTGTCATACCGTACCAATTAGAGATAGACCTGTGGATAGAACCGTAAAGTAAGGAAAATCTCTCGCAGTCACCAGCGAGACGGTTTTGGAGTAACCCGAGCACGGCGGCGTCAATACACAGCACTCCCCCGTCGCTTCACGACTTGTGAGTCGGGGAAGAGAGATAGGGCGAGAGGCGAGATAGAGGATGCGTAGAGGCCTGCACGGGCCAAGGGTCGGCCCGATCGGCACGACCCGTCCCTCGGGGCGAAATGATCCCTTTCGGGTCGGGTTGCGTTTTTCTCCTGATTTTTTTTCTCTTGCCTCTTGGCTGGGACCGTGAATGTTCTGCGTCTGGGTTGGAATGAGATCTTGCATTTCTTCCATGCGAAGACGAATCATTTAATACGGCTGTATGGTTCCTGTTCTGCCAGGATATTTTAACATGCGAGGTAATGTCCCCTGTTGCGAACATGGAATGGAAATGCCAGCCAAAGCCATGTGACACGACAGAGGTAAGGACGGTCCGCGCAGGGTTCTACTCCCGCCTGCCATAAAGTTGTCGCGATGGCTTTCTTCGTGGGACGTAATGGCCTCTGGGAGGGTGTCACGCTTTACCCTCGTGTGTGCTCAGGGATTCGCGAATTCCAGTTCCCTTCATTAATTCATGCGGTCATCGTCGTCGCGAGTCGAAACGACGGAGGTTCATCGTCCGATCGACGACAAGCGCGACCCGTTACGTCTCGAAACCAGGCTTCATCGGGAATCGGGAAACGTCGAGAAAGCCCAGGGTCCCGGATCCACGAGAAATAACTAGAGTGAAAACGACTGCTGCACCACCCTTTCTCAAAAAACGTGAAAAATACGTATATCGGGGGAGGCGAATAAAAAGAGGAACTGCTGTTTGAAATCGTGTCGGTGCCCGTAAAACGGCAGCCAACGGAAATACGATTCCTCCCACACAAACTTCTTCGCATCCTCAAAATGTCCCCCGTTCTCACCGGTCCATCGTCGGCTGTTTCACCACGCGAGGGATTTCCGAAGGCAAGAAGGAATCTGAAGGCGCATCTGCGAAGGCTCTCTCTGCCATCGTTCTTGCCAAAAAAAAAAGTCGGAAGAGGAACAGTAATCACGTCCGATCGTGTCGCGCTTGAGACGTGGAGATCGGCGCCGAATTTCTCTCGAAGTACTTTCGGTGCGGAACGCCATTTGCGTTCAACGTGCTGGTCTGCGTTTTTGGAGGAAGTGATTTGAAATAAGGTCCGTAGAACGGGATAAAATAAAATAGTTTCATCTGACTCTCCCCAGTACAACAAGTGAATTCCCAATTTCCGTCCGGAGCTGTCCATTTCTCGGGCACTCCACGAAGTAAAAGAGAAAAAAGGCGTCTGTTCTGCTCACTCATTTCTGTTTCCCCTTGGAC